CCCCCTCCCCACAACACACACACAAACACAATTCTTCTTCGCTGCCTGATTTCAATAAAATGAAAAAAAACTTTGAGGGTTGAAGCAGCTGGAAGAATATCGTCGTAACTTTTGGGATGCTTGAAAACAATCTTTTGATTGACACCAATGGTGTTGCAAAGCCTAAACGCAAAAAGCCATAACATTCCGTCAGTTTGACACATACATTGTTGAAGAAATATCTATCATTCATGAAATATCTGAGAGCAAATCTTTCCCAAAAAGCACTTCTGAGACTTTAAATCATCCGCACAAAATCAGGGTTCCAGAATTTACATCCGAACCATAAAATTTATCTGTACAAAAGAAGCACATGGTTACAGCTGAAAGATGAGGGAAGTGGGAAGGGGAGGGGGGAGGTCCCAAGATGAGGGAAGTGGGGAGGGGGTGAGGGGGGAGGGTGGTCAAAGATAAACATTATAGTCATGAAAGCTTTCGCTCACGTCAAAGCCCGCACAAGACAAGCCACAGCACGATATTATCTTCTTTAATCCGTTTTTCGGAAAATCGTAAAAACAAACTGGCCCCTATCTCTGACCTGATAATGGTGGCTTTTAGGCTGTGTTTGAACAATTAATGTACACATTGAGGAACCTGACGCAAGCACACAAGGAATAGAGATAGAGGTTAGTGCTTCCCTCTTTCTTCTATTTCTCAAGTCCCTCTTCTCCCCTCCCCTCTTCTTCTCTCTTCCCTCTTTTCCTCAAATCTATCACATCCTTTCCCTTCCTCTCCCTTCTAATCCCCTCTTCCCCCTTTTCTTAAATCCTTCTCCCCCTCTCTCCTCTTCTTCCCTCTAATCCCCTCTTCCCCCTTTTCTTAAATCCTTCTCCTCCTCTCTCCCCTTCTTCCCTCTAATCCCCTCTTCCCCCTCATTCTCAACTCCCTCCCCTCCTCTCTCCTATTCTTCCCTCTAATCCCCTCTTCCTGCTTATCCTCAAATCCCCCTCCTCTCCTCTCTTCTCTCTTCTTCCCCCTCATCTCTCCTACTCTCCCCTCTTCTCAAGTAAATTATGTCTCCCCCAACTCCATCCCTTCCCCCCTCCCTTTTTTTTCAAGACTCTCGTCCTAATTTTTGCTCACAACATAGAGATATGCACACGTACATCTACAGAGATAACTCCAAATATCAAAGGGAGCACACACACACACACACACACACACACACACACACACACACACACACACACAAACACACACACACAAAATCAAACAAAATATTTTTTTCTGTTAAAAAGTAAAGAGAAGAGAAATACAATTACGACACAAAATTTGTTCCTGTAAGCTGCAACTTTTCTATAAAAAAAATTATTTACACCAGGTGTGACAAAATGTAACCAACTTTCAAACAAAAAATCCATGACCAGAACACTGCCACAGGCACTTCATTCTACTCTGCTCAAAGAATTCCCACAACATCAACAAACATACAACATCCTTGTAAAACCACTTGGAGACAAACAAACAACACAAGGACATAATCATTGATATGTGAGGCAGCGTGGTGGAATCAGGCTCTCGTCAATTTTTGGGGCATATTGAGTTATTGGTATAATCTTAAAGCTTGTTCATTTGTCTTGCTTTCAATGAAAAAATTACCCATTCATCTTCAATAGAAGTGGAAATATTTTGGATTGAAGGAGGTTTGGGTAACCTGGAAACTGTAAATTTATATTTTTGTGCCTTTAATCAACGTTTTCGGTGAAATCCTCAAAGGAATGGGTTTGTAAATGGACATAAAAGCTGTTGAGCCAAAAAACACAAATTTGATAAAAATTGCAAAGCAGGGAGAAAACTGCTGTTTTCTTCAATCTCATTATTTTGACGAGAGCCTGATTCCTCCACACTGCCTCACATATGCATACCAACACACAAAAAAACAAATACAATATAACAAGAAATTAAAAAAAAAAATTAAACCTTAAAAACTGTTAATTACAAACTTCATGATGGAGTTACAAGGACAATTATTAAATTATATGTATATGTAACATACACAATGAACTCTCACCTCTTCAAACCATCTTTTTAAATAAATAACCTTTACAGACTAGGATGAAGATTCCGATGGTGATATGGAAGATGATGATGATGATGATGATGATGATGATGATGATGATGATGATGATGATGATGATGATGATGATGATGATGATAATGACGGATGACGACGATGATGATGATGATGATGATGATGATGATGACAATTATAAAGATAATGACAACAGCAATAAGGATAGGCAGCCGAGTGGACACCACTGACGTACAGAGACAGCAGTAGGGACAACAATTCAGAGGAAAACTGAAACACTGTGCTAACATGCCATTAATGATGACACTACTAACTGACAGTAAGTAGTATTTACCATACTCCTTACACCCTGTACTCCGGAAAAGAATACTTCTACTAATGCTATCAGAGTAGTAACCTATACAATTACTAGCTCTACGGCAGTACAAAATTTTTGTTAAAATTTTTTTTTTGGGTAGAGGTTTTACGGCGCTCGCAACTGCATAAGGTCATATGAGCGCCAGAAGATTAGAGGTGTCACAAGAGAGTAATAAACATAAAAAAGAAGGAGGGGAGATAAGGACAATAGATGTTCGATAGGAAAGAAGAAGCAAACCACACCAGAGCACCCGCCAACCACCCACAGTACAAAATTATATTGGAAATTATGTTAATTACAATATTTCATAACTCCCCCCCCCCCCAGCAGAAAGAACGACAGGAACATTATGGAACCTCTATGAGACGGCTCTACATAGTGCCAGCCTTTATGGTTGCATGCACTTGTTTAATTAGTTCTAAGAACCTCATTCTATACTTTGACATATACAGCGATGTCACATAAGAACTAGCCTACAGACTGAGAAAAATTTTTTTATCAAACACACACACACAAACACAGATACGCAAACACACACACACACAATCACAGATACGTAAACACACACACAAACACACACACACACATACACATACACACAATCTCTTTAGGGTCTACACCCAGAAAAGCGTAAATGTACTCAATCACACTCTCATGCACTTGTACACACACACACACACACACACAAACACACAAAAACATACAAAAACAAACACATACACAAACACACACACACGCACGCACGCACACACACACACGCAAACGCACACACACACACACACACACACACACACACACACACACACACACAAGCAGAAACTTATCAAAATCCATTTTTAAATGTTTCAAAGGACACAACATGTAAGAACTCATGCATACACACAACCAAACACACACAAAGTATAGCACCTCTCCGTAATTGGTAGGGTAGGGTGTGTGTGTGTGGGGGGGGGGGTCCTTATTTTTTTTCCTCAATTTCATAAGAAAAATTGAACATTAAGTTTACAAATTACAGCAAAAACATCAACAGTAAGAAAACCTCGATAACGTGCTTCACAAATTGATTAAGGGGGATTCTTTTTTTTAAAAATGTCCTGTACTTTGAAAAATAAAAAAAATTCCACTGATTTCTTTTAATTATATATATCGTACGCTTTAACATGAAATGATCAGAAATAACCAGAAATCTCACTGAAGCGCACAGAACGCATGCCCAAAGCACGGAGAATCAAATTCAAGGACCGTCAAAACAACAGCAAAGAGAGAAAAACAACAAAAAAACACAGACAGCAAAAGGAACAAGGAACAGGACACATCATAAATGCACAAAATACATCCAGGAACATGCAGTCAGTCTGAGCTTCATTGATCAAGATTAATAATTCCATAAACCCATAGATCCAGACGTATGTGTGCCCGATCTAATACTGGAACAGGGGAGGTTGCATAATGCACATTCTTAGCCCGAAAACAGTTGAAAAGGTTGAGTGATATTACAGGGAAAGGGAAACCTATATATAGAAACAAATATCGCAGCATTCCATCAGTATGTCATTGTCACTGGATATCAGGACTGAATCAGTACGCTGAAGGTTCAAAATGGAGTAAAGGCTTAAAGTGTTACATATTTGTGAGGCAGCGTGGTGGAATCAGGCTCTCGTCAAAATAATCAAAGTGAAGAAACTTGCATTTTTCCGCAGGTTTGTCAATTTTTTTCAAATTTATGTTTTTGGGCTCAACACCTTTCATGCTCATTAAAGAACTCATTTCTGCGTGGATTTTTCTGAAAAACGCTGATTAAAGGCACAAAAATGTAAATTTTCAGTTACCACGGACTCTTAAGCTAAGGAAATAACTAATCTTTGGCGGCCATTTTCTCACTAATTTTACCTCTAAAAATAGGTGACCTCCACCCCCTTTATTCTCAAATATTTGGGCTTGTATTTAAGATAAACGAATATTTTTTTAATCAAAATAAAGACAAGTGAACAAGCTTTCAGATGACACTCATAATTCGATGTCCCCAAAAATTGACGAAAGCCTGATTCCACCACGCTGCCTCACAAACATTTGTGTTCAACTTCAACAATCTAAAAGAGAAAGAAGCCTTAAGATGGGACTGCATGCACGGGTAACCAAAGCAAAGCAAACATGAATGTATGGAGAATCTAAGGGCTATGGAGGATCAGATTAATTGGGTCGGGGGTTGTGGGGAAAGTGGTTGGGGGGGGGGTGTCGGCGCTTCTACAAAACTACTGAGTGGCCAATCACATCAACTAAAGCACTTCTCAACCAAACGCACACAAGAACGCGCATGGGGGTAGGATTACAACAGGATATTCTTATCAGAAAAAAAATTGTTACTATATTTGGAAAGGATGGCTCAACAGTGAAAAATGAATTTGCTCAGCAGCAAATATACATGAATAAAGAATGATAAACAACAATATTTTATTTAATGAGCGCCATTTTAAAAAAATCTTCCTTAACAATGGGTCTATGTCTTTCAAAGCAGACTAGTTCATAAAAGAATGGACAAACAATTTCATTCTCTTACTGCATAGAGTCATCTCCTAACCATTCACTATCAGCATGCCTCAGTAGACATTTGCAACACCTAGAAAAACAATCTCCATTACACGCAGCACAACATCCATACAGGTTACAACACGAAAGCAGCTCTGGTCACAACCTCTTCAGGACCGTACCGACCCTACAACCCAACGTAACAGCCAGGACCAGTCACGGGTGAGGTAGTGAAGGGGTTAACTCAAGGGTTAAATGTCAACGGCATATTAGTGTGAGAGTTAAAAGAGAGTTAAATACACAGAAATCCCAGAGACAAGAAAAAAAAAATTAACTCAGAAGTCGTGGTGTGCAAAACAGGTTAGAAAATAGAAAAAATGGTGGCCTTTGTGATGTGACAGCGGCCAGTTACCTTCTTGTTCTGTGACGTCACCCTCGGATCCTTAACCAGTGGCAGCGAAAACAAAGCAAATGTTAACACAAGCGTGGGGGAGGGGGGTGCTGGTGGCTCCAGCCACAGTCATAAAGAAAATTCTTTTTAACAAAAACAAAAGGTGCAATGTTGTAAAAAAAATAATAAATCAAATATCACGGCGGGAGAAATATCTACCATACTCATGGTATAATTCGGGAGAGTGGGGGGGGGGGGATTTTACATTAGTAAGAATCTTACAGCACTAGCAACAAAAAATTAGAGATGTTACCACTCGTAAATAGCACACAAAGAAAAGAAGAAGGAGTGATAAGGACGACAGACGTTTCATCGAAAAGAATGAGAAAACCACACCACAGCACCCAACAACCACCCACTCGGAGGTATTTTCAACTGACAAACAAGAACATTAGAGGGAGGGTAAAGAAGTAAGAACTACCCGTCGCCTCCGGCATCCACATATGATTTCATAAATGCGAGTTTTTAAAAATGTTTAGATCCTTTTGCATCAAATAATATCTTCGAGGATCTACTTGGCTGTTGTTACAAAATCAAACAGCAACACAGACAAGCTACCACCAGTTTTCCTCCTAAAGTTATGCCACAGCTAAGAATATTTTCCCCAACTATTTACGCCAGAGCTAAAAAGATTTCCACAAATAATCATTTCAGAGCTACAAAGCTTTCCACAAATAATTATGTCAGAGCTTGAAAGACTTCCACAAATAATCATGTCAGAGCTTGAAAGATTTCCACAAATAATCATGTCAGAGCTAGAAAGATTTCCACAAATAATCATGTCAGAGCTAGAGAAATTTCCACAAATAATCATGTCAGAGCTACAAAGATTTCCACAAATAATCATGTCAGAGCTACAAAGATTTCCACAAATACTTAAGGGCAAAACGTCAAGAGTATCAGTATTCATTAATAGATCAATTCTTAGAATGACCACACAATTTGGCCACACTTCTTTATTCAGAATAATATATTGACTTGTGGGCTTTCCAACTTCCTCGGAATACCTTCCCAACCTTCAAAAGTGTGTGTGAGCGTCACTCTTTCATATCACCACCCACAACTCCTCCCTCAGAGATTCACAACAACGCGACTGGAACAACGACAACAATACTCGACTTCTCTCCTTCTGTTACTCATTGAAGGGCTTAAATCTTTTTTTAAAAACCAGAAGAGAACTTTTCGAGAGCATACTATCATATCTCCATTTTATCTCTTTGTGGGAGCTACGTCCCCCCACTTTTGAGAAGCTCTCACTCAATCAGATCAGCACCCCCTAGTTCGCAAATATTAATGCTATGAAAGTCAGAGTTGAGGGGAACTTTTAATATTGAACTTCAAATCTTTGTTTTAGCAAGTGTTTTACGGCACTTGCAACACAATACGGTCAAATAGATGCTGAAGATTAGAGGTGTTACAAGAGAGTAACAAACACAAAAAAGAAGAAGGGGAGATAAAGGCAGTAGATGTTTGATAAGAAAGAAGAAGCAAACCACACAAGAGCACCCACCAACCAACCACAAATTAACACTTCAGCGTACGGATGTACAACAGTACAGGAACAACAAATGTACACAGAAAACACAACAAATTTAGTATACATCACGTCATTAAGGAAAAAACAAAACTAAAGCAAATGACGAGGCGGCAAGGAAGAGCCACAAACATGACAAGGGTCACAAGAGGCCAAAGGTCAGACAGTAACCAATCAGCGCGAGGCTTGGGCGAGAGTGGAGAACTACATCTGATCTGCGCGCACTAGACACAACCAAACAGCCACCAGACAGACAAGAGGGAAGTGAATCGGGCCACATTCTCATGACGAGGGCGATGATTAATGATCAAATGAGAGATGACGTGATCCGGATTCTTCCGGATTCTTCAAAGGGGCTCGGGGTGCCACTTGAATACGGAATAAAACAAATTTAGTGGCTCAAGTAGAAACCTTTTGTCATTAAATTTTAAAAAATGGGTTAAATTTATTGAAGGAAATGGTAACCAAGATTTCTAGAATTTAGACGACTGTTTTCAATTTTATAATGTGAATAACATGACAAACTTTCATTAAGTTTCTATCCATTCATTGCTTCACGATAAAACTTTATTGCCCGAAAAGCACTAAGCCACTGGTCTAGACGCAGATTTGACAAAACAAGAGAGAAGCATATCTACACAAGTCATTTATGCTGGTAAATAAAAGCAAGACTGACAGACAGAAGCAACCCAGTGAGAGGATAGAAAAAGTAGGCTCTACCACGGAAACCCTTCAACTACCCAGTTCTGTTGAAAGATCAGGCACATGAGCGACAGAAAAAAACCCACTAGTAGAGTACACACGACCAAACCACAGAACTCGCCAGAAACCACACAGATTTCATCGACAGCATTTTGCCAACTAAGAGAAGAGCTTTTTAACCATTTCATAACAGATGCCAGTACACACTAGATGTTCGAACTATCTCCTTTCTTTCTTTGTCTCTTTGAGTAAAGAGAAGCACATCGACACAGTAATGGTCATTTAGTGCTGGGAAAGAGTAAGACAGACAGACACATCGACACAGTAATGGTCATTTAGTGCTGGGAAAGAGTAAGACAGACAGACACAAAGAATCAAAAGAGGGAAAGAAAAGAAGTAGACCTATCAGTGGCGCCCTCCAACCAGCCATGGCACTATCTCCAATAAGACCAGGGGTTAACAACTGACCCCTTAACCCTCCCCGCCGTACAGCCAAAAGAAGCAGTTGACACGTTACCAGTCTCTTCACTTCTTTGTCCCCTCAAATCCATTTTTGTATCAACGCTCAAATCTCATTCTGTTTTTTGCTCCAGAGGCAAGATCTCTACAACCTAAGTGATTTTACTTTTTAAAAAAACATAATTATGTGTGAAAGTGCAAAAGTGCCGAAAGTATGCATAGAAATTATCAACAGAAATCAAAATATGCGATAAGCAAAGAAAAGTTGAAGAAGAAAGAACTGCCAAATCTTTAGTCTCTATGAAGATGATGAAAACTAAGTGGTTAGTGGGGGTCTCTTTATGGCCTCCATCTATAAGAAACAATAAGAAGAAATTGCAGAAGATGTTCAAGTCAGCCTAGAACTACCAACAAGGCCAAGGGAATCAAGAAAGAAGAAATTTTCTTTAAAAATCAGTCAAGAACACATACAAGAGTCAGAACCAAGCCAAAAAGTTGTTGCCAGCAAAACCTTTATACATGGCAGCTTCAAAATATGACCAAATGTCATTACATTTTTCACTGACAAACTGCATGAACGAAATCAAGAATGGTGAGAGAAGAGAATTTCTCATTTATCTATCTCTAACGTAAAAGAAAAATTCCTTTTTCTTTATTCCAATTCTCACTTGGAAGACAATAATTGTATCCAACAATTTGAGCAAATAGGAGAAATATGTTTAAGCAACAGATATCAGAGGCCTTTCTAGTGTTAAATTCAAGTGAAATATAAAGAAAAAATCTCAAGCAAAGCAAATACTCCAATTAGCAAGAAAAAAAAGGATTTTAAACAGTTACTAACTTTCCAGCCTACGTTGTTCTATTCGGAAACAAAGACAAAAGAAAACAAAGAGTTAAACAAATGAAATGACAAGTGTATACAGAACAAGTCAATCCAAGACATTTACGCTGACTTTTATTATTAATTAATCTTTGGGGAAAAAAAAAAAAATGGTTCATGAAAGCCTAGTAATAGGAAAAATAAAAAGGAAGGATCCAATATGCCCCCAAATCCAGCGACCAATAGGTATGGCAGGGAACATGGATGAATTAATCACAGTAAATCTCATAGTGTTACATCTTTGCAGCTGGATTGATCAAACTGAAGCTATGTTGAAATTTTTTTTTCAAAATAACTCAAAGGAAACACACCAATGTTTGAGGTTTTACAAAAGACATGGAAAGAGAATTCTCCAAAAAAAATAAAAAAATAATGTACTCAGACTTAATAAATAAGAAAAGCATGAGGAATAATAACTTGACTTCATAATTTGATAACATATATATATATATATATAACGAATCACGTTCTTAGTTCACAACAGGATAAATCAAAGTAAGTTTAGTCACAATAAAACATAATACAAAGCAATAATTGCACAGAATATGGGCATCAGAAAAGTGTAAATGAGAGAATATTATAGCATGGAGTGAAGTGTGATCAGAGGCAGCTATTGCGCGACGACACTTACCGATTTTCCCAGCCTGGGTGGCGTGAACAATCAGAGCATCCACGGCTCCTCCGCGCACCTCGGGTCCTTCTTCTCCCTGCAACAGAGCACCAACGATGGAAACTGGTCAGTCCACAATTTACAGAACTTTACGCGTGCTATACAGATTTGGAAAAATACACTTATTCAATTGTAGATTAGAACACATAGATAGTAGAATAACACACCATTGATAGAAGACTTACAGAAAATGACAGAGCAAATCAAAATTACAAATTTCCGTAAATTTACAGAAAATTTCCCTCCCTGAGAACAGGCCAAAGGAACCGAGAAGTGAGGGTAGGGATTACCATCATCATCATAATAATGATGACAATAATACTAACATAACGAGTAATAACGATAGCTACAATAATACGAATAATAATCATAATGAAAAAAAGTACAAATGAATTGTACATCTATGTACTTTGCATAGACATTGTTTTAGAATGTAAGTGTGAAGATTTTTAACACTCTTTTCAACAACACATTAGTTAGTTTATTTAAAGGACAGGAATAGTTTATTTGGTAAATTTGATAAAATATTCTCCTTGTGTGTGTGCGTGTGTGTGTGCTCGTGCGCGTGTGGTATGGTGTGATATGGTATGTTATGTTATGTTATGTTACGCTGATAAGGTATGGTAAGTTATGTCATTATGGTATAGCATGGCATGGTATGGTATAGTATGGTATTTTGGTAAGGTGTCATGTAGTTATGGTATGGTATGGTATGTACGTCCATATACGTTGTTGTTGTTGTTGTTATGTTGTTGTTATCGATCCAGCAACATCTGGGCTCTCGCCCTTCTGTCCAATGCCATGTAGTGATAAGTGCAGGTTTGCTGCAGTTGCTGTAATGTTCCATAGAGTGTGTTGTTAAAGTTAGGTCTCGGAGGGAGAAGTGTAGCTCTGATGTCATTTAGGGCTGTACAGACGTCCATATACAGGTACAAAACTTCCCCACAGAGAGATTAATCAAGTGGAATGTATCTTATTCATCTTTATTGAATTTCTACCTCCTGTTTGAGGATGAGCTGGTCCGAGATATCCAGGTCGTCCAGCAGGTTCAGCTCACAGAAGTCAGAGTCCGAGTCTTTCTGGATCTCTGGCTGGGCTAGGGGCGCCACCTCTTTGACCTCTGGCGGAGGTCGCGCGGCCACGGGCTGGGGCAGGGATAACCTCTGTGGCTGGGAGGCGACGCTGACACTGTGGCAGGGAAAGGAAGGTGGATGAGGGTGTGTGTAATAATTCTAGAACTAGAGGTGGGCAAAATCCGGAAAATTAAGGATAACCGGATAATCGCAATGAAATATTATCCAAATTCAGACTCTTAACTCTCTTTCCTGACCCGTTTGCCGAAGTGGGTGCACCGATTTGTTGACGTAGTGTTCACCCGTTTGTGGAAGTGGTTCTAACCCATTTGCCAAAGCGGTTCATTTCATATTATTATTTGCCGAAGAGGTGCACTAAAATATCCGGATTTTTCTAAAGCGACTCATTGCCCAGCCCTACCTAGAACAGACATTCACAGCGAGAGGAAACAGTAGCACATTAGGCCCAATTATGGACCAAATTAATGCAGGAACGCTCTGACCCCCTTAAAGGCACAAAAAATTAATTGCATCTACATCCGAAATACTGAAGTCGTATATAAAAAGGTAAATTTTTTCCTAAATTACAATCCTACTGTTGATGGCAGGGTGACGCGTCTCTGCATTTCTACACAAACAGTGTTTAGAGACATCCATGACTTGACACGCCTTGTCTCCAAACTAGTTCTGTTTCATTTTTCTCAAAATCACAAAAACATAGAGTTACGCCACTTTGCCGCTGGACATTAGTACAGCCCAGCTCTGTGTGGTCAGGCTCACCTGTCCGCGGCCGTGGACTTGTCCAGACTCAGCAGATCCCCGGCCGAGCTGCTGGACTGGCTGGACCCCGTGCTCAGCTGACTCCCGTGGCTGATGTCGGACAACTGGAAGCAAAGCAGAGGACACAACTGAACACATCACTCGGCCCTTATGGACTCACCAGACATTATTTCATCCGTCATTCAGCTATGCATGATTAAATGTGAGGCAGCGTGGGGAAATCAGGCTCTCGTTATTTTTTGGGCACGTAGAGTTTTTGGTATCATCTTAAAGCTTGTTCACTTGTCTTTATTCGGATGAAAATAAATATCCATTTATCTTGAATACAAGTCGAAATATTTGCGAATGAAAGAGGCGGGGGTCACCTGTTTTCAGAGGGAAAATTAGAGGGAAAATGGCAGGCAAAGATTAGTTATTTCCTTAGCTTAAGACTCCGTGGTAACTGAAAAATTACTTTTGTCTGCCTTTAATCAACGTTTTTCAGAAAAATCCACACAGAAATGAGTTCTTAAATGGGCATGAAAGGTGTTGAGCCAAAAAACAAAAATTTGATAAAAATTCACATTATTTTGACGAGAGCCTGATTCCCCCACGCTGCCTCACATATAGCAATAATAAAAGGAGAGAAGTTGAGAAGTGGCTGTTTGACAGATGATTGTTACTGCAGTTGCGACTGTATCATATTTATATAAGAGAACTTTGTAGTCCTGGCAGTTTAGCTACTTATCTCCCGCAAGCCAGTGAGCCGCTGTTTGTGGATTAACCATGTTCCGTTTAAGCAGACTCCACAGGTGTAATAATTCACTGAAGGAGCATGAGGGAACTGATTATTTTTTATTTTTTATTTTTTTTTTTTTTATATAAGGAAGTTAATCACTCAGTTGTTTTGAAATCATTATAAAAATGTATCTTTGTAATCAAAGCAGTTTTGGCAGCAGCTCAGGCACATTCCTTTACGGTGTGGCTGATTAGGCGCAGTGTGGGAATGGTTAGTCGTCTGCTGAACTAGGTCAGGTTTTGTAAACATCGTATAAAATGCATAAGAATAAAAGCACAAACCCTGTTGATCTTGATGGGAAGGGGTGGCATGGAGTTGATGCGCTCAGAGGAGCCGCCCCCGCTGACAGAGGAGCCCGAGGAGATGTCGGAGAAGACGGAGATGGTGTTGGAGCGTGGGTAGAAGAGCTCGCGCTGGTGCTGGTGCCACTGGGCCTCGTAGAAGGTGATGGAGTGGCGGGAGATGGCCTCCTCCAGGAGACCTGGTTGTGTCAGCGCTCCGAACGTCCGCATGTACGCTTGCACTGTGGGGGGAGAGGGAGAGGAAGAGGAAGGGGGGAGAAGGTTAGTTTTTAGTTCTAGTAAGAGTTCTTTGTCTTAGTAGAGGTTTTACGGCACTCACAACTGCATAAGGTTATATGAGCGCCAGTAATTAGAGTACAACAGCACTCTAGTAAGAGATCTTTGTCTTAGTAGAGGTTTTACGGCACTCGCAACTGCATAAGGTTATATGAGCGCCAGTAGTAAGAGTTCAACAGCACTTTCAACATAATAAGGTCGTATAAGTGCCGAAGATTAGAGGTGTTGCAAGAAAGTAACAAACACAAAGAACAAGGGGTAGGGCTGGGCAATGAGTCGCTTTAGCAAAATCCAGATAAAATATCAGTGCACCTCTTCGGCGTTTCAATGTGTTATGAACGGCTTCTGAAAATGGGTTACAACCACTTCGAGAAACGGGTTAGAACCACGTCAACAAATGGGTGCACTCACTTCGTCAGATGGGTTGGGCAAAAGAGTTTAAGAGTCTGAATTCGGATAATGTTTCATTATTCGGATAGGTTAACCGGATTTTGCCCACCACTAACAAGGGGGGAGATAACAATGCTATTTTTTCTGCTTTAAAATATAACAATTTCTAATGTCTGTGCTTTTTTGCCCCCATTGACACAATTTGATGATTTAAACATGCAAGTTTCAACCGTGCCTGTCAGGACCAACAAGGCTGAGAGGGATACAACATCCCAACAGAAAGACTGAAACAGTGGACAGAAATCACCTCACATTTGTTGTTATGTTGTTGTCGTTGTTATCATTCCAGTGGGGAGCGAACATTTCAAGCGTTTCTTTTCTCCTTCACAAACAATGTCTATGAGTTTCCAAATCATCGATACATTGGTAAAAAATCAACACCGTGACCAAATTAGTAGATTTTCTATTGATGCCAGATTCTTTAAGTTAAACATGCCTTTTATTATTTGATACTTATAAATCTTACAAAAATTTCACCTATAAGCGTGATGTATCTATTTCCATAGGCTTCAAATCCAAGAAGTAATCCATTTCATCATCACGCTTCACATATATTAACCTTATCCTTACGTCGTGTGTTACTATCGTATCCATACGACGTGGGGAACTCAGTGCCACCACTTCCCAAAGGGAAATTTACTCGATAATCCAGTCCGTATGCTTTGCATAGCAGTCCATCAAGTCAAAATGATTTTTAGAGAAATACTGAAAGTTTCAAAGAGATGTTAGCACTAAAAGTATTCTAAAAATGTGAAGAATACAACCCCGGGGGTACAAAACGACCCCTGGGCAAACGGACAGGGTTAATGACTTTTATCAAGTAGAGAGCTACTCAACAGCCTTTGGACTCACCGTGTTTTTTCTTGGGCGGGAGCGGGGGCGGTTTGGGCAGGGACTCTGTGCTGGAGTGGCTGGCGGAGGAGAACGTCTCGGAGCTGGAGAAAGTCTCGTGTGAGCCGGCGCTCTGCTCCGTCAGGTAGGACTGCATCGACTTGTGGCTGTTCACGCTGGTGATGGATTGGCTGCCAGCACACACACACACGCACGCAGGGGAGAGAGAGAGAGAGATTTAGTTTTACTTAAGAGTTTTACAGCACTTGCAACACAATAAGGTCATATAAGTGCTGAAGATTAAAGGTATTACAAGAGAGTAACAAACATTAAAAAAGGGGACAAAAGATCAGGACAATAAATGTTTGAAGAGGGAGAGAGAGAGAGAGAGAG